CTCTGCAGAGCCTTCCTACCCTCAGGTAGGAAAATCTACAGGACTTCCCCTGCCCAACAGGTTTCTTTCCAGCAATCTGCTGTGGAAGGACACAAGTAATAGAAAAAAGCTGAACAAAAAGCTCCCAGCAATGTAGCTGGTGTCTGGCTCATGGCAAGATGGGGGAAAAGCAGAGCAAAGAAAGTTCCCAGTGTGTTTTCACAAAGTGTTATTTTCAGCCTGGAGGACCAGAAAGCAACATTTTGGGGTGACACGGAAAAGAGGTGACAAGTTTTAGCCCACGACGTCAAAGAACAGCTCCTGGCTGTAGAAAGCTGTGACGAGGCTCTCATTTGCTGGGCATTTGCTTGCAGTTCTCAAGGCAAGGGGCAGGTGAATGTCCTACCGGGATCCTGCTCCTCAGCCATGGTTTAGGATACCAACTCTGGACTTTGAGGCTGATTTGTGGAAGAGGCAAGGCTGCAACTGCAATACTGTCAGGACCCAGGGCTGTACCAGGTGCTTTCAGCTGATACAGATCATAAACACCTTCAGTCACTGTGAAACCCTGGGTGGAACTGGCTCCAGATGAACAGAACTGTTGGACAAATCACCAGCTAGGAAAACAAAAAACCCCAAAGCAAAACGATGCAAAGAAAAAAACCAACCCTCTACTTAGAAGACAATAATACATTTGAAAAATACGTTTCACTATCCACACCTAATGGAAATACTTCTCAATGAGGATATTTTTTCATTGGGAGAAGGAAAACACTTCTGTGATTTTTAAAACAAGTTTCCACTCGACAAGTTAAAAAAAGTGTAATGATTTCTCGAGGCCCTGTACATACCTTAACACGGGGGTGTGCTTTTGTCCTAAACAGAAAATGTCTGTATTCACATTAAAACACACTGCTGACAGCTGTGACCCAAATACCAGAGAGAAAAAGAAAACCATTTTGGTACCCTCCACCATCAAGAACAATCACAGAATGTGAGGTGTTGGAAGGGACCTTGAAACATCATCCAGTCCAACCCCCCCCGTGTTGTGTTGCGTTTTGGTTTTGGAGTTGAAGGGGGAAAAAACCCCAAACCCTTTAAGGATAAATGCATCTCTAACGTGCAACGGGGCCCTGTGCAGAGTCAGAAGAGTTCAGAGGTCCGTACAGGAAAGCATTTCAAATCATCGGCTTCTTTTTACCAGGTAACTGCAGGTGCTTAACAACGTTTCACTCAGTGTTCTGGGTTAGTTGTACAAATCAGCTGGGTGCAAGGACCAACGTAAAGTCAGTGCATACTGGTAGTTAAGTAGCGTGCAACACTTTACAGAAAAGAGTGGCAGGGCCTACAGCAAAATTGTCCGGTGTTCCTGGGTGCCTGCTGTGCTTCCAGAAGGGTACTTGGCAGCCCACGCTCCTAAGGCCATTTGCAAATGCCACCCGCGTCATTTCTGAAACGAATCAGGCCGTTTTATTTTCACGGATGTAGTGGTTATGGTCATCTGTGGCTGTCAGTGCAGGTACAGAGAGAGTGCGGGGCTGGAAAAAAGCAGGATCTCAGGCAGTTTGAAAATGTAGTTTTAAAGTTGTAACTTAGCTGGTATGAACAGTCTCCTCTCTTGATGTCAGTGCAGATTCTCTTCCATCTCGACACCACAGAAAGTTATACTGGACACAATCCTTTCTCCACAGTGGATGACGCTGGGTGGTGGTAGTTGGTATTAGGTCAGCTCTAGCAGTTTGTTCTCCAAGCTCATATGTTAAAGAAAGTCTACTAAGATGTCCTGATGAGCGGGGACCTTTCATCTTCAGTACTCTGAAAGAGAAAACGCAGCAAAGTTAAACGTGGCACATGAGAGAGCTTCCAAACAGACAAGGAGAATGCTCTTGGCTCCTACTTCTAAGTGCAATTTCCTATAAGGGAACAAACACTGCACTAAAAAAGCACTGGAGGGTGGACAGCAGCTTGGGCACGGCCCTCGAAATTTAGGGGTCCCTGTGTCATTTTAATCCCTGTGCAGTGCCCCGGGACGTCCAAGAGAGCTTGCATGAAGTTATACAGGTAGGGAGGGGGAGGAACGGCTGGGAGCAGGCAATGGGACAGTTTTGACCCACCCCATCGCACCCCGAGTCCCACTGAGGTGTGATGGCAGTGGCACCTGCTGTGGGTCACAAAGCACACGCACAGGGTGGCTGGGTGCTCTGGGGGTAGGCGTGAGGGTGCTTTGTCACACTGCTGCAAGGAAATATTTAGGAAATACCACAGAAGCAAGGCCACTCTAAGAACACAGCAACTACAAGGAGAAAACAGCCTACTAGAGTACCCAGAGCGTTCCTCTGACCAAAGGATCCGTAGTTTGTCTCATATGAACCCAAGTGCCTTCCTAGCAGGGTGAAATTTTGGCACCAGCTTTTACCATGACTAGAAACCTTAATGCCGGCGTGTCATTTTGTGACAGAACTTTCCACAGAGAGACGTACAAACGAGTACTGTCTGGATAAAACCTTCTGCATGCTGCTGTCTGTGAAATTCACCTGTCCTTTGGTCACAAACTGGCATTATGCTTTTGAAAAATAATCAAGTGGCACAGTTGTTTCTACTGAGAACACAGTCAAGTCTGTCACTGACTGAATCTGTCCATCAGGTATGAGGGACTTCTTGTACCTCATCCTTCAGGGTCCTCTAGGCAGGCTGATTTTTAAAACCACTACTGGCAAGGGAATTAGGCACAGAAGACAGGACCTGCCTTACCATGGTTCTCACATTAGCTGCACTCCTTTGTTTTGCTGCGTTTATTCTGAGTCTATTAAAACTTCCCTTGCCTAGAAAGGTCATTTTAGACAAAAACAACACATAAAAACGTTTGTGTGCAGAAAAGACACCGAACAGGTAAAAATCAACCAAAAGAAACTCAAATCCAAGCAGAGGAGCAGTAAGCATGGGGAAATTCAACCGCTACTCACCTCTTCCTTCACTCCCCGGGACCTGCACACCAGCCCAACAAAAACAATCCCAAAAGCAATTCCTAGAGCCATGATTACGAAGGGGATCCCGGTTACAACACTGGCTTCCAGCAAGACGTGCCTGAGCTTGCTGGCAGATGCTTCGTCAATCAGAACACTCTGGAGCAGAGGGAGATTAAGAGGGGAAAAAAAAGAGGTTATTTCTATTCTTCCTTTACATTAGACCGCCTTGCTTTTGTGAAGGGTAGGAATATTCACTCAAAAAAAATTCTATGATCTTGTGATCATAAACAGCCCTTTTCCTCATGGCCAATACCTCTGAAATCAAAAGGACTGTCTGACTGAGAGTGTTTTCCAGGGCTGAACTTAATGCTACGGTCAACAAGCAGCAGGAGGGTTAAGTTAGTTAAGAAACAGCAACAGCTTCCTACCTATCACTGTAAAAAACAAGAAGAAAACCAGCATTTTCTGTCTGGGTTAGCTCAAAGACAGTATTTTTGCAAGCATAACCATACCACAATGCTGCAAAGAAGTAACAGAAGTATTTACCTCGTTTATATACATCACTGGGAAAACCAGCGTTCGGATGTTGCCTGTTTCGCTGGGTAAAAAAACAAAGAAAGATTAGGGTTTTGCAAGTTTTCAAGTTGAGGGTTTTGAAGACAGATTATAATAAAACTATGAAGGAGGAAACTCCCTAAAAACCGTTGGGCTGTTCCCTTTTCTTGCCAATTTTCACCTCCCTACTGGAGTAGGACAAACTCGGTCTCCAAGATGAGTAATGAATTCTGCTTTGGGAGCAATGGTGTATTTTGGGCCTCCATAAGAGGCTCATTAATAACGGGCTGAATGACAGATCTGTGGCAGTCAG